CATGGGGAAGTGGGTCTGGCGAAGCTGCTGAGGGGTTGTTTCAACTTGGAAAAATATAGATGAACCTGTTCCATCTGAACAGGAGACCCCCTTGGACCTACTGATAGGATTATCAATGGCACCAAAACTCATGCCATTCCCTATGGTTTCATTCTCACAACTGTGCTTGCACATTTCAAGGTACAAGCAAGGATCATTTCAGGGTTAATACTCTGCTTGCTTGCGATTATGAAGTCAATGTCATTCTTAATGAACCTGGTTCATCTAAAAAGACACCTATCAATAGCAAAGTCAGAGCTCTATCACAGGAGAGTGAGGCAAAGGATGTTGAGATAGCAAGGCTGAAGACACGATTGGTTGAGGTAGAATCTGAGAGAGATGTTCTCAGAACTGAACTTGCAAGGGAAAAGGAGAAGAATGATGGAACTCTTCAAGACATGCTGAAACTTCTCCAAGAAAATAACCCAGCCCCTACCTCTTCCAAACCTTAAATCCTAGCCTAGTGTAGATCAACCAGTGACCCAATTCGAGACTTTTTGTTTCTTTTGCTCATGTTTTCAGTATTTTTATTTCTTCTTATGCTTTGTGGTAGAATCTTATCAATCATCAATGAAATTCACTGTTTTTGCTCTAGCTGTTTGTTCATATTTCTTTGATGGTTAAAATTCTTAGCTTGATCTATGATGATTAATTCATGTTTGCATTTGAAGTAGCCCCAGTGGCCATGAGTAAGTTTTAAAATCTGGTTATCATACATTTTTTATGCAACTTTTCGATGATGCCAAAAGGGGGAAAAAGGTTGTGCTTTACACTTTGAACAGTGATGTTTATAACCTAATGTACCTGGACCTTGATGATAAGTGATATAAAGGAAAAATGTTTCTAACATTGTGTTGATGTTTGAGCTGAGTTCTGGCAGGGCCTAAGTGTATGAAAAGCACAGTGTTTGTCATTATCAAAAAGGGGGAATTTGTTGGCCCAAGTAAGTTAGATTTGAAGACTGACAAAGGAACTCAGACATGAACCAGGTCCATCCAGTGTTCCATCCCTCAGGTTCACAAAAACGGACAGATTCAAGCATGTGGGATGCACGTGAAGGAGATAAGCTTAACTTGGTGTATTTAATATCTCCTGATCGAAAAGGTTGCATAATTGATAAGGAGAAGGAGTCCTTAATCAAAGAGAACACAAGTCAAGATAGGGAAGGAGTTAGAATTTGAAATCAACTAGAACTCTTCCACCAAGGAAGAGTTGCATCAGAACTCTAGTTATTTCTTCATCTACTAACTCTATAAATTGCAGGATGTTCTCACATTAAAGGGTTGCACAAAAATGCAGAAGTTAAACGTGAATTGAGAGCAAAATAGCAAGGCTTTTTGCAAGCAGTTCGTGTGTGATTCAAGTGTGCAAACCAGAAGCTACAAGAACCAGATTGAAGAACCAGCTCCATAAAGAGTTTTATGTGTCTTTCTTTTATTCTAGTTCAATTGTAGTAGGTGTTTTAAAGTTGTACCTTTCCAGCTTTCATAGAAGCAATTGTATTAGGTACTTTGAGTATTCAAGTTAGAGTTAACTTGAAGTTGTTGCAGCAGTTACAGGCTGGTTGCTACAACGGGATTAGAGTTAATCCTTAGGTTTACAAAGAGTTTTGTAAATGCAGTTTTGGCTCAGTGATTTTAGTGGAAGTTTGGGAAAATCCTACTGAGTAGTAGGTCGTGGTTTTTTCACCTTTTGAGCCAGGTGTTTTCCACGTAAAAATCTCTGTGTTCTTTATTTTATGTACTTTTAATTCCGCAAACAGTAGTAATAAGTACACCTAGAAGAACCAGGTCCTTCCAGAAGCAGTTCAAGTGAAAAATTGAGTACCACACAAATCACCCCCTCTCTTGTGTGGTATTGACGTTTAGAACAACAGAGCTCATGGGTCCCATGGCAAGGCTCACAAGAGGGGGGCAGAACATAAGTTTAAGAGAGAGTGCAAGTGAAGAAACAGAGTTCTAAGGGAATAAAGGAGAGGGAAAGTGGTGCTGGAAAACAGCCATAAACAAGTTGATAATTTCATACAAAAGGGGTTCAGGGGTTGGGAAATTGCAAAGAGCCTATGTACTTAGGCAAGGGTCAGCTTTGGACATGCACAGCAATAGGAGATGCTGGCATGCCCATAAGCCCACCAGAACACACAATACTAGAGAATACATAGAGGTTATGATCCCAGGGGAATCAAGTTTGAGTCATGGACAGCTCAATACTGTCATGCCTCAAACAAACCATCAATATCAAACACATTGGGGTAGGGGTTTAGGATACTTAATACATAGATTTAGAATAGGAAGAAAGAAATTACAGCATGCTAGAACAAAGTACTGAATTAAACACAAGCAGTAGGCAGACAAGAAGGCAAAAGTATTAAGTAAACATGTTGTGATGCTGAAATTTTAATCAGAACATACCAGTTCAAAGAAGCAAAATACAGTAAAGGCAAGGTAGCAGGATTTTGAAATTAGCTTTGGCTTTCAGCCAGCTAAATAGGTCACAGCAGAAGTAGTAAAACAGGAGAGAATATTTTGAGTGTAAGTGATTTTAGAACTCAGAGTGTTCCCTGTGCTAATGAAAGAGCAAGGTATTTATAGTTTGAAAATAGGTAGAAAATAAGGCAAGAATCATAGTTTAGCAGTAATTATAGAACTATGTACTAATTAAAAATCAAATCAGTATCAAAGACTTCCTTTAATTAAGGAGTTAAAATGAAAAGGTAATGGGCAAAAAACATTTAAGGAAAGATATCAAGTAGAGCATCATGTGCAGAATAGACAATTAGGGGTAAGTACATAGAGATTTAATTAAGGGAATAACTAATGAAGAATCTTTGAAATACTCCGTTAACCAAATAAGGTAAGAAACACAATAAATTTGCAGAATATGGAGATAATCAGCACATAGTAAATCAAAGAGTCAGGGATTCGAAATTACTGATTTGGAGAGAATAACATGGGTTCCCATGAATAAACCAAGCTAAGAACAGGAGAATCGAAAGTCTAAAGGGAACTTTTCAAATCAATCCAAGAAACAGGGAAATCAGTAAAACAAGGAAAGAATCAATTACTTAACACACGAGTGCAATCAGAATTACACAAGGAGTGGATTGAAATCAGTCCACAATTGAAGGTCATTTTAGTGGGAAATTTAGCATATAAAAGAGTGCATAAACATTAGGCATGCAAGGCTGAACTTATGACAAAGAGAAGCATCATGCAATAACAATCACAAAGTCAGTAGATAGTGAACTATCAAAACATGGTAGTCACATAGGTCAATTTCACCAACTTAGTAATAGAGAAACGAGAGAGTATCAGAAGCATGCAAAAGGTCAAGTAAAAAGACCTTTCTGAAAAATATAGTCGAGTTTCAATGATGGCAGGAAATCAGAATCACATAAAGAAACGGATGTTGAAACAAAAGATTTTAAATCTAGTCGAGCAATAGATGAAGCAACTTCAAAAGCTCGAATAGGTCCAAAGAAATTAGAGTTTTGAAACCAATCGAATTCAGAGATGATGGACAAGTAAAGCAAATAGTCTCAGAACTCGAATGAACCCAAAATATTAGGGTTTTTCACTATCAATCGAATCTAGAGATGAAAAACAAGTAAATTAGACAAATACTAACAAAAAATAGATTCAGAAATCTCAAAAAGGTTAAAGCCCTTAACATGCAAACTCAAGTAGAAGAACGACATTAGGAAACACAGTAGAACATGTCAAAAAATCAGAGAAAGCCTTGAAATAACTTAACAAAACCTAAATCAAAAAAGATAAAGGGGCTTTGAAGGCAGAGTTTTGAAAGAGACCTTGAGAAAAACGTTTAGCAGTTTAGAGTAAACACGAATCTAAAACATATCTAAAAGAAATCGGAAGAACCTCAAAGGTTAGGATTTCAGAAGAACCCCAGATGGTGAGAATGGCTTGGAAAATCATCGATCTAAGCAGGAGAAGTCAACAGTCAGGCTTGAATAGCCATGGCTGGCCGGAGCATGGTTAAAGATGACCAGTGACAGCCATAGAACTGAAATCAACTAAGGTCTGGACCAGACTTTTCCAGGATATAGCCTTGAAACCATGATAATCGGGCATGTAGAAGCCATAGGAGGTAGATACAGCCTTCCAATGGCTTTGGAAGCCATTGATTTGGGCGGTTTTAGGGTGGTAGTTGAGTGCGGTGGCTAGGGTTTGAGAGAGAATTGAGAGAGAAAGGGATTCAGTGGCGGCTGGGGGTGAGAAATGGTTAGGGTTTGGGGGTAGGTCAAGATTAAAAAAGGAAAGAGTTAATGTGAGCCGTTGATCTGAGCGATCAACGGCTGGAATTAAATGAGAATCCGGGCGGGTTATTTTAATTGGGACATGGATCGGGTATGACTAGGATTTGGGCTGGGTAATTGGGTTTAAAATTGGGGGTCAATTCAGGCTACAATTGAAACACAATTGGGCTATATTTTAAATAGCCACTTTTCCCTTATTGATTTTATAAAAAATAGTAGAATAATTTTTGAAAATAAATTGAAGGTACTAAAATGATTAATAATACATAATTATCAAATTAAAAATATTGGACCTAATTTTTATAGACATAAAGGTAATTAAATCTAAAAGAGGCTAATGTTGCAATTGTATGCAATTTAGTTTTAAAAATACTAAATAAATTTGTAAAAATATGCAAAAATTACATTTGCTATATTTTTAGCATAAATATGAGAGTCCAATAAATGAATCACCAAAAATGGTAATTTTGGGAATAATTATTGGGTTTTTCTGGATAAGATATGGCAATAAATTGATTTTAAAAAACTTTAAAAATTAAGGAAAAATAATAAAACATTTAGACATACCTATATATGCATACATATTCTATTTTGAAATTATTTTGCATATTAAAAATATTTAGGGAAAAATTGGGTATCAACACCTTTCAGTTTGAAGAATGCCGGTGCTACATATCAACGTGCCATGCAAAATATTTTTGATGACATGCTTCAGAAAAACGTGGAGTGTTATATTGACGACTTGGTAGTAAAGTCAAGAAAGAAAGATGATCACTTGCAAGATTTGAGGATGGTATTTAAACGGCTTCGGAGATACCAACTCAGAATGAATCCGTTGAAGTGCGCTTTTGGAGTTACTTCTGGGAAGTTCCTCGGTTTTATTGTTCGACATCGAGGTATCGAAATTGATCAAGCTAAGGTGTATGCTATCTTGAAAATGCTCGAGCCTAAAGATATTCATGAATAAATAAGCTTGCAGGGTATGTTGGCATATCTTAGAAGATTTATTTCGAATCTGGCTTGAAGATGCCAACCATTTAGTCGCCTCATGAAGAAAGGGGTTCCTTTTGAATGGGACCAAGCTTGCAGAAATGCTTTTGAAAGCACTAAGTCTTATCTGATAAAACCTCCAGTACTGGCAGCCCCATCTGGAAAGCCATTAATATTATACATTTCAGCACAGGAAAGGTCAGTAGGAGCGCTTCTCGCTCAAGGAAACAATGAAGGCAAAGAAAATGCGCTTTATTACTTGACTAGGATGGTAACGCCAAATGAGCTCAAGTATTCGCCTATTGAGAAGTTATGTTTGGCACTTGTCTTCTCTATTCAAAAGCTGAAGCATTACTTCCAAGCTCACGTTGTGCGACTCGTCTCAAGAGAAAACCCTATCAAGTTTGTCGTGTCTAAACCAGTCCTAAGTGATCGATTAGCGAGGTGGTACCTCCAGTTTCAACAATTTGAAATTGTGTATTTTCCTCAAAAGGCAGTAAAGGACAAGCATTAGCAGACTTCCTAGCTGACCATCCGATTCCAGATGATTGGGAGTTGTCCGATGAATTGCCTGATCAAGATGCAATGGTAATAGAAATTCAGCCTCCTTGGAAGATGTATTTTCATGGCGCTGCACATTGTGAAGGAGCTGGCGCTGGAATAGTGTTTATCACTTCTCAAGGAGAAGTTTTTCCCTATTCTTTCACTCTGACACAACGATGCTCCAATAATGTTGCTGAATATCAAGCGCTTATACTTGGGCTTGAAATGGCTGTGGATATCAAACAATTGCAATTACAAGTGTTTGGAGATTCCAAGTTAGTGATCAATCAGATTTTGGGTAGCTATGAGGTCAAGAAGCAGAGTGGGTGCCATATCACAAATATGCTCAAAGATTGGTAAGTTGGCTTGGAGAGGTAACTATTCAACACGTGCCGAGAAAGGAAAATAAGAGAGCTGACGCATTATCAGCCTTAGCTTCTACATTATCTTTGCCTGATCAGACACAAGTGGATGTTGCCAAAGATGGGTAGTTCCTCCACCAAATGACTATGAGGAAGAAGGAAGCGAAGTTGAGCATATTGCTTCCGTTCTTGAGGTTGAAATTGAAGATTGGCGACAACCATTAATAGATTATCTTTGTTACGGTATATTGCCAGAAAATCGTCGAAGGAAAATGGAAATCCGAAGGAGAGCCCCTCATTTTCTTTATTACAAGAATACACTCTACAGACGATCATTTGATGGAGTGCTCCTACATTGTTTGGGGACTGACAAATTCCTTCAAGCCTTTCAAGAAGCACACTCTAGAGTATGTGGTGAGCATCAACCTAGGCCAAAACTTCATTTCCACATAAAAAGAATGGGGTATTATTGGCCAACCATGGTGAAAGATTATTTGGATTACGCTCAGTGGTGTAAAGCTTGCCAATTCCATGCTAACTTCAGACATCAACCACCTAAAGTATTACACCCAAATGTTTCTTCTTGGCCATTTGATGCTTGGGGTTTGGATGTTATTGGTCCATTGCCAAAGTCTTCTGGTGGACATCTATACATTTTGGCCGCAACTGATTACTTCTCGAAGTGGGCTGAAGTTGTTTCTCTTAAAGAAGTAAAGAAGGAAAATGTGGCTAACTTCATCCGAGTCAATATTATATATCGATTTCGCATTCCGAGATATATATTGACGGAAAATGGTAAGCCATTTGATAACAAGTTGATGAATAAAATATGTGATCTTTTTTGCTTCAAGCAACGCAATTCCTCCATGTATTATGATGCTGCCAATGGACTTGCTGAAGCATTTAACAAGATACTCTGCAACTTGTTGAAAAAGGTTATTTCTAAGTCTTAGAGAGATTGGCATGAAAGGATGGAAGAAGGTCTTTGGGCATACAGGGCCACATATCGCACACAAACGCAAGCGACTCCTTATTCACTTATTTATAGAGTTGAAGCGGTCCTTCCACTTGAGCGTCAAATCCCATCGTTGCGGCTTGCCATTCAAGAAGGACTCACTGATGAAGAAAATGCTCGATTATGCCTTGAAGAATTGGAAGCTCTTGATGAAAAGAGGCTAGAAGCTCAACAAAGCCTTGAATGTTATCAAGCTCGCTTGTCTCGATCTTTTAACAAAAGGGTACGCCTTAGATCTTTCCAAGTGGGTGACCAAGTTCTTTTAATCAAAAGGCATATTATTACCTCTCGTCAATTTGGGGGCAAATTCTCTTCTAAGTGGGATGGACCATATATCGTACAAGAGGTATACTCAAGTGGCGCTTACAAGATAGTTGACTCGGAAGGTTTGCGAATTGGCCCCATCAACGAAAAATTCATGAAGAGATACTATCCTTGAAGAAAACAAATACGCTCCTCGATGCACGAGCATAAACTGCATGTTACTCCTGGCCCGCAATAGTATAAGCTGTGCACGGTCCAAAAAAAAGTCTGCTAGGTTGAAAACCTCGAAAGAGGTGGCTTAGGCAGAAGTTAGGACATCCAAAAAAAAAAATAAAGTCCACTAGGTTGAAAACCTCGAAAGAGGCGGCCTAGGCAAAAGTTAGGATGCAAAAAAAAACTGACCCATTTCGAACTACGGAATGACTTGATCCTCTTCACCGAGGTACGTAGGCAGCTTAGAGTTTCATTCTAAGTTTAGTCATATGAGTTCAAAAATATATATTACCCAAGGCATTATTCAAATGAGGTACGATGGAGTATAATTCACTTGATTGACACTTAAAAATTAGGTGGACATGTATTCCTTCGTTGAACTCTCTGTCTTATCTTGATGGGTCAATGGGGGAAAGCCCTCCGTGTCAAATTGAGGTCTTTGATGGAATGATTGTAGTTACTTCATTAAAAGGCTAAATATTCGAGTTGAAGGCTCCAATTCTAAGTCAAGTTGATTTTGTCAAGTCTATTACGTCATCAATTTGAAGTATTCAAGCCCACTAGGTCTTAAAGTTGCAGTATTCAAGTCCACCAAGTCTTCAAATCCATAAAGTATTAAAAAAATAGCTCACTTGTTATAAACTGCAGAATGACTTGACCCTCTTCACCGAGATTGGTTTCTTCAAGACAATTATAGTCTTTAGCAGGCTGGAAAGTTTTCAAGACCGTCATGTCTTTGAGTTGAATTCTTCAAGTTTGCCAAGTCGCCAAGTTGAATTCTTCCTATTTTCTATATCATTTTTGAAGTCTTTAGCATGCTAAATCTTCAAGTTGAAGTTGAGTAAAATTCTTCTAGTCCGCTAAGTCTTCAACTATCGAAGTCTGCCACGTCTTCAAGTTGAATTCTTCAAAGTGGCTACATCTTCAAGTTTAACTTTTATACTTTAACCTTCAAGTTGAATCATCAAGTTAAAGTCTTCAAATCCATTAAGTCTTCAAGTCAAAGTCTTCAAATATGCAAGTCTTCAAGTAGAAGCCTTCAAGTCTGCCATGTCTTCAAGTTGAAATGTGTAAGTTTAATTCTTCCAAGCAGCAAAGTCTTCAATTGAAAGCCAATAAGAAGCCCCCTTAATACTCTTGAAGTCTTCAAATTGATATAACCTTCAATTCTTTAGTTGGAAGCTTCAGTATATCTCCAAGTGTATGGTAAAAGCCTTTGATATAGTTTGCACCATCTTTAAATATTTATATCTTGAATTATTTGATGAAGGTTTTAATATATCTTCAGCTGGAAGTATTTGAAGTGTTGGCTTGCATGACTTGATTTATGTTGCAGAAAAAAAAAAGATTATTCGACTGTGGGGTTATCTTTACTAAAGTAGTATCTTTGGTATTGATTTTTGCTTCTACCTTAAAAAAAAGGAGAAACATATCTATATAAAGGACATTATAAAATTACCTGTGAAGATTGAAATTGAAGAGATATTCTTAGTGGTCAGCTTTTTGAAAAAAAAATCCTTGCTTCATAATATCTTTTGATTCTTGTATCTCGAAATGAGGACGAGTTTTCATTCCTTTGCGCCGAAAGGTCAAATCTTTTGGAGGTGAAGAAAAATCTTCAAGTTAGACTGTATAATGGACTTTGCCGGTCTTCGTCTTGGAAAAAATATAGTCTTCAGCTTAGACGGTGTAATGGTCTTATCCTCAGACAAAATAAATCTTTGGCCCAGACGGTATAATGGTCTATACCTCAGATAAAATGAAGTTAAATCTTCAAACAAGATGAAGTCATTAGCTTAGACGGTGTAATGGTCTTCGCTTCAGATAAAATAAATCTTTGGCCCAGACGGTGTAATGGTCTATGCCTCAGATAAATGAAGTTAAATCTTCAAACAAGATGAAGTCATTAGCTTAGACGGTGTAATGGTCTTCACTTCAGACAAAATAAATCTTTGGCCCAGATGGTGTAATGGTCTATGCCTCAGATAAAATGAAGTTAAATCTTCAAACAAGATGAAGTCATTAGCTTAGACGGTGTAATGGTCTTCGCTTCAGACAAAATAAATCTTTGGCCCAGACGGTGTAATGGTCTATGTCTCAGATAAAATGAAGTTAAATCTTCAAACAAGATTTAGAAGGTGTAATGGTCTTCGTTTCAAATAAAATAAAAACTTTGGCTTAGACGGTGTAATAGTCTTCACCTCGGAAAAAATAAAGCTTTTGGCTTAAACGGTGTAATGGTATTCGCTAGACAAGGTTGCATGACAAGCAAAATAACTGAAGAAAATTTGCCGAAAAGAGGTACATAAACCTGCAGGAAGGTATAAAAATGCTCTAATTGATTTTATACGGTTAAGGAGGAACTCAAGAAATTCTCAAAGACATGTCAAGTTAGCTTTTAAAATGCTAAGTATTAAGGCCAAACAAATACTAAATGGACAAAAAAAAAAAAGACGCAATACAAGTCTAGCAAAAAGAAATTCATTTACATGCACCGGGATGGACCCCAAGATTTTAAAATCAAAGAAAAGCAGCAAAAGCAAATACATAAGCCATAAGTAGGACAAATGCTAAAGTTGACAGTGTACTTGGTTCTGCTAGAAGTTGCCATGAACTAAAAACATTGGCTGCGAAGGTAGTTCCATTTCCAAAGTCCGAACAGTTTTATTCCAAAAAACAAAAAAAGAACAATAAAAAATATTGGATGAGCTGTATTTTTTTTTCTGAAAAGAAAACTCTACTGCAAAGTACATGACATAGCTAAGTTTCTACCGTGGTCATATGTCTTAGTTCTTATGGTTTACGTTCTTTCAACAAAAGAAAAGGGATGGTAAAAACAATATGTGCTGCTACTTCAAATAGAAAAGGCATTAAAAAAAAGGGAAAAATATAAGCCTTGAAAGTTGAAGTCAAGAAGTCTTATCTAAGAAATTGGGATGTCACGTGAGTGGTTGCAAAAGTTTGCCAAGAAAAATGAATAAAGACAAAAGAAGAAAAAAGTTGACATGTATCACCTAAAGTGCATATATAATTCAAAGAAAAGTACAAGATTTGGCATGACATGTGTCTCCTATGGATAAAAGCATTTATCTTCCTATAAAAGAAGAAAAAAAGGCTGCTTACTGACAACTACTTTCCAGCAGATATTGTGATTTTCTTTTTCCTCTCTTCCTAAGCATTTTTCCGCGTACTGTGCTTAAACCAAGGCTTGAAAGAATTCTCCTAATCCCGTAAGATGTTCAGTGATTGTAATCTTCTCAAAAGAATAAGATTTTATCACCTAGAGGATAATAGAGTGGAGAGTTATCAACAGCTATAAGATAAGCTGAAGACTCCTATAGGGATTGAGGCTAGCTGAAGCCTAAATTCAAAAAGAAAAGAAAAAAAAATCAAATGTGGCGGAGGAATAGGAAATACCATGAATCTGTTTCAAACTAACAAAGAGAATAACGTGACCTTATTGATTTACTCAAAATTCAAGACTTAACATTATTATTTTAATGTGTAAGTGTGAATCAAAAGGTGAAAGCCACTGCAAATGACGGACAAGCCATTGGTCCATCAGATTAAATTGTGTATTTTTAGAAGGAAAATGCATGTAATTAATCTTATGAACTCGGCAACTTAGAAAATTGACAAAGTTTCATTAGATTAATGGTCCATTTTGAATGAACGTCATTGGTACTTCAAGAATGATCTCCGAAGGTCAACTGCGACAAGTCTTGAAGCAGGGGGCATTTGTAAGCATTTAAATTTTATTGGATTTAAATCTACAAAATAATTTGGACCGTATTAAATTCAAGATATTAGTCCAAACAAATATTTTGGCTAGTAAATTGGGCTAATTATTTAAACCCAATACATGTGTTGGGCTAGTCCGTTTAATTAGACTATAAATTAAATGATAAGCCCACTTCAGTAGCCCAAGGTCCAAATGGCTATTAGCCCATCTTAAAGCTCAGGCTCATGCCTCGTGTCAGGTGATGTGGCAATCCAAGTCAAAAGAACAAGCCGATAATATCATGCGACGTGTCAAGTGACGTGGCAATCCAAGCCAAATAAGTGAGCCAATGACATCATGCCATGTGTCAAATAATGTGGCAATCCAAGCCAAATAAATGAGCCATTAAAATCATGCCAAGTGTCTGCATGGTATTGGTCAGTTCAAACGGACCAATCAAATTGCAGAGCCACATCACCCCCTACAACTATAAATAGAGGTCTTCATAAAGCTAGAAGACACCAGAAGTGATAACAAGAAGCAAGCAGAGAGCTCGTGGATCAAACACCGTAGATTTCTCTACAAGCTACAAGTTCAAGCACTCAAGCTACAAGTTCAAGTTCAAGATCAAGAACGAAGCCAAATCAAATACCAAGGCGTTCAAGATCAAATTACTTGTTCGTGATCAAACCCAAATTCAAGTTCAAGAAGGAGATTCAAGATCAAGCTTTACAAGCCCTTGAATCAAATCAAAGTCAAGCTCATTAAGATGCTTTACATTCTTGAAGAATCAGAGAAATACTGTATGGGGTCGAATTCTGCCAACTATGGTAGCAACGACCCACGACTAAGCAATAGCCGAAGTCGAGGGGACGACCTAAGAATGTCAGAGCGAAAGCGTGTCCTTAGGTCTCGTCGTCTCCTCGAAAGCATGTGACCTATCCCTGTATTATTTTATTATTTTTGAGGGGGTTCTCTTGTTATATAAAGGAGAATCCCAATGTTGTAAAGGGGCAGATTTTTTCAATAATAAGCTCTCTCTCTTTCTATTTCTCTCTCTCTCTAAACAAGCTTTCTCTTACTCTCTCGAATATCCAAGTTGTTGAAACAAATCACAAGCATAATACATATTTCTAGGTCTGATTATATTCGATTACGATTTACCCTTGATTCATTTTGATTGTTTTCGCTTACAAAGTAATTAGTATCTTTTGAGCCAAACAAATACCATAGAGATTGTAACACTTTCATTTATTGAAATCAAATACTACATTTGTTACGCAATTTTCCAGTCTTGATTATTTATTTTTCTCGACGCGAAAATTTGTTGTTACAGAGACATCAATACATATATCAGACATGAGGTAGAGAATAAAAAAAAACGAAAAAGGCCTAAAAATGCCACTCAACTTTGAGAAATGGTTTATCCATGTCATCCGCTAAAAAATGCTCATTTCATGCCACTGCCGTTACACATTTGGCCCATCCATGTCATTATTGACTAACGGCAGTGGCATGGATGGGCTAAATAAAAATTGAGCCGTTAGTCAATAATGGCATGGATGGGCCAAATGTATAACGGCAGTGGCACGAAATGAGATTTTTTTAACGGATGGCATGGATAGACCATTTCTGAAAGTTGAGTGGCATTTTTAGGCCTTTTCCGGAAAAAAAAATTAGTGTGGCTGTGCTCTTTGAGATGATGGTCATTTGCAATGCTTATGGTAGATGCAAGAAGGCTGTATTATTTTACTTTTTTTGCTTAACTAAAAGAGAAACAAACAAAGGGAAAATGTTTGTGGTTTTACGGATCATCAATTATTGTGATTCTAAAACTTGCTATATAGAGGGAAAAGTATGTGCATCTAGTTAATTTAGGCTAATGAAAAACAACGTCGTTCTACTAATCAGCCAGAGTAATTACTTAATGGTGAAAGGTTCAAATTTTATCAAGAGCCTTTCGTCTTCTTCTATTTCATTTACTATTCACAATTTTAGGAAAAAGAATCTACCCTTTCTCTCAAGTCAATTGACAAGCCTAGTTGTTCACTTTTCATCTGATTAATATTTTAAGTGAATTCATATCTTTAAAATAAGGAAAATTGTGAAGCTACAAAAATAGGTGTAGTAGATATTTCACTTATCTCAATTTACGAGACACTCTTTATAAATAATCAATCAACTCCGGAAGTTTATGTTCAATCAAATATTGTTATATGAATGAAATGGAGGAATGGAAAACTGTTATGAGTTTTTTCATCTTAAAACTCAATGCGCTTCTTTCAATGTATATATCTTCTTTTGTGTGTAAATTTTTCTTTTGGATGTTCTCCGATCCTGATGTTTCTAATTGTATTAGTTCAAATATCATTGGTACTTCTTTTCACATAGTTTAACTAGGAATATAAAATTTATATTTGATATAATCAGAATATGAGCTCTAACATCAAAATAAAATTGATCAAATTTTTCATGAAAATCAAATTGTCTTTCACAATAGAGTGACCAAACAGTCACAATTCAAACTGTATCGTTAGAAAAACTTTTTCGTATTTGCTGGCCCTATTGAGCATTCCCTGGTTTATCAAGATCGAACTACGTCTCAAAAATTATACATATATAGAGTTATGTAAGAAAGGGTAATTGACCAAGGAAATTCTTTCCCTTTTCCTTTCCTTGTGTTAAAGGATTTTTACACATATAGTAGGTTCAATACGCTGTTTATTTTTTCAAGCCGGCATATATAGATTATACACTAATTTATATACGATTATACACATATTGTATACGAATTACACATATACTATACATCAGTTGACTCTTTTTAGTTTAAGAGGTTGAATGACAGCTATTAGAGTTAATTCTTCAAGAAAAAAGTAGGGATCGACAAGTCTCATAGAGGTGAATGTACGAGGTCCAAACTAAGGTCCAACAGGAATTGCGCTCAGGGACCCAAAAAATTTGCATTCCTAAACCTAAAAAGAGAAGGGCTTTCTGTCACGACCCAAACCGATGGGCCGCGACGGGCACCCTGTGCCCTACTCAACCGAGTACCAACACAACATATCTTTCTTATTGTACTTTCATTGGCAAATAGGCCAAACGGGCCGTCATGGACTAGCCAGAATAGACATAGGGGAATACTCAATATAGGACGACCCAACCTGATATAAGAAAAATTATACATGTGACATACGAGCCTATAAAGCCAATATGATCATTTGTAAACTCGAAACATAGGCCGACACGGCCATACAAGCATCCGTATCCATGACATCTGTCTACAAGCCTCTAAGAGTACACACTTATCATAAAGGTCGGAACAGGGCCCCACCATACCAAGCAATACGCATCTAAATCATACTGGCCAAACAAGCAAATCCGAAGCAAATGGAGCGCACCAACATCTTCCGCTGAGCTGATAACCTAGTTGGAGGACTCTTGACCTGTCTATCGAGACCTGCGGGCATGAAACGCAGAGTCCCCAGGCAAAAGGGACGTTAATACGAATAATGTACCGAGTATGTAAGGCACATATATAAGTACATAAAAGACATGGAAGAAATATAGAGTACATGACTCAACCTGTAAGTCTGGACAACTCTGTAAATCATGAAATACTTATAGTTTTATGCACATGCGTATGAATATCATGTCATGCATAAGTACATGTGTTCATAATATCATCAAGCCTCTGAGGGCATCCCATCATATCATCTCGGCCACTGTGGGCAAAATCATCAACGTATACCAGCTGATCAGGTGGTGGTGCGTGTATATATATATATATATATATATATATATATATATATATATATATATATATATATATATATATATATATATATATATATATATATATATGTACGCATATAATGCCATCTGGTCATGGGTCAATGTACATGAATGCAATGCATGAGAAGTACGTCAATAAACTCGTTTGGAGTGTCATAAGACCATTATGCATTTGATTAATATCATAAAATCAATTTATGTATTTTCTGAGACCCATGAACAGATCGATGATGGAATAATAAGACATATGGGAATTCAAGAACATAGGCACTTCTAATACTTTTATGAATAGAGTCATTTATGAAAGTTTTGCATTTGCTCGTTTCGTTCGTATCGTATGGATCATGCCAAAAGGAAAGAAGGGATAGCCTTAACATACCTGAGCCGATTCTCTTGACAATCCCTCTAACAAACGTTAATTGCGATAAAACATTGAACAAGTCGTATGAAAAGCTCAACGCAATCACGTTGCTCAAAAAAAATCTTGGCCGAAACCTTTCCATCCCCCAAATGACGTTTCTTATGTGATTTGGATAAGAAACTCTTGGGTAACGTTTCTTGGCCGAAGAAAAACTCTTGGATAACGTTTCCATCCCCAAGAAAATCTTGGCTGAAAGTGATTTGGACAATGTTTCTTATGTGTTTGGTTGAAGCTCCCTTGTGATTTGGATAACGTTTCTTATGTGCTTGGTGTCACATAAATCTTGTAATTGTGCCACCTCCCAGTCTTATTTAAGAGTCATCAAAGGGGTAAAGGGGGTGCTGCCACGTTATCCTAAGTTTTTAATTAATCGCCCACAAATGCTTAATTAACTTGTTAATTCCCACATTAATTAATTATCCATATAATTAAGAATTATCTTCAATTACTTAAAATACTACTCACTTTTAATATACTTTATACACCTTACTATCATGGCCGTGTGGTACCTTGTATGGTACTAGTCCATAAATACCGGGTATTTTAGCTCGGGCCGTATTTTATCTCTCAACATGTCAAACTTTGACGAAAACTCATTTTCTTTGATTTGCTTACCCTCTCACCTTCACGAATTTACTCATCACTTGTTTGAAATAGCATAATGCTTATAATCTCAAAATAATCTCATTCCCGAACTTACGTCGATTAGCTTACGACAGAATTTTAACATACGAAAATGCGGAATGCAACATCTCATTTCCGAGCTTATATCAATTTACTTATGGCGTACTTTCACGTACGAAAATATGGGGTGTAACACTTTCTTGGGCCCAAGATGAATTATTAGGCTTGAGGCTTGACTAAATATTTGGGCTTTTTGGAAAATCAAGATTCCACATCTAATTTTTTTTAAAAAGAAAAAAGAGAAGAAGAAGAAAGCTCTATGAAGGGAGAAATGTTAATAAATTATCTATATCTATCTATACTATATTAAAAGTACGAAGGCCTTTAATCAAATGTTGTTTGTCATTTTTACCCTTTTAAATTAGAGTTCGCACCGGACAAAATAGTCATTTATTTATTTCCCTAATATTTAGCACTTTAAAGTCAACTAAAACTTTACTTATTATTTCCTTATTTGAACTACTACTACAAAGGAAGTCCTTCTAACTTAGTACTGATCTTTATTGTCCGATTTGCTTTCTTAGTGCTGACACCCTCGTATGCCGATCAACCAATGAAGCGGCAGAAGAGAAGTCTTAATATTTGGGACATCAAAATCAATTACTACACCTTGCACAAGTCAAATAATTCGTTTATAATATCTGTTGATTGTACGTGCATATCAAAAGGTGATAAAACAGGAAGAGGACACCAGGGAACATGCATAATATTTGACTAATGCTCTAATTGGTATGTCCTAGGAAATAATCCCTATGAGAAAAATTATGTGACTAATGTGTGGAATTTTGTAGCTAAGCCTAGAATTTTGTATCATGACGAGGGATACTACACTTTTCAATTCAAGAATACAGAGGATACTACATTTTTCAATTCAAGAATATAGAGGATAGAGATCTTGTACTTCATGCGGGACCTTACACCTACCATAACAAACCGTTCGTTCTGCAGCATTGGAGAATTGATTTCTACTTCAATCCAGAGTGTTTGAGTTTCATTCCTTTGTGGATTATGTTCCCTGGCCTTCCACTAGGGTATTGGTCCAAAGAAGCCTTGAGCAAATTGGCAAGTGTAGTAGGGAAACGTCTATACACTGATAGGGTGAATGCTGAAATAGAGAAGGTGTCCTATGCTAGAGTGTTGGTGGAAACTGGTGTTTCACATCCAGTCCCAGAGAGCTTTGAAATTCAAACTCCCAAGGGTGTCATACTCCAACAAATATTCTATGATTGGAAGCCCAAGTTTTATTGTGACTGCATTAGGTTTGGGCATGACACAAACGACTGTTGGCTGAACGAGAAACAGGAAACAGAGGAGGAATTTAGGGAACAACCTAAAAGGAGAAGAAGGAACAGAGACTGAAAGAAGAAGATTACCAAAAAGTGGGTGCAAAAAGAGCACATGGCAACTCATGTAGGACTCTAAACCACCTAACCGGTTGTTTTAAGCTCTAGTGCGTTGTTCGGCTGTTTGAGGTCATGAGTAACTTCACTTCATGTTTTATGACTTGTACATGTGGTTGGAATGGAATTTCGGGAAGTTCGGAGTTTTTTCGGAAGGAAAATTTGAAATTCGGAAGCTTTAAGTTGGAAGAGTTGACTAAGGTTTGACTTTTGAGTAAACGACTTCGGAATCGAGAGGCTACAAGACATTTAGGACTGTCACTCTTTCTTCTTACCCTAGATCGTGTGGTAAAGCTCACTTGTAAGAATTCAGACTCCTAAATTCTATTTTATTCATAATAAGACAATACCTACGTCCGGAAAGACGGTTGGTAAGAGATATAACAGTGGAAGAGTTGAGTTAGAGGAACTCGATTTTTGCATCATGCTTATGATGAGTAAATGTGAGGTCTTCAGCAGATCATGCGTGTACTAAAATGTGTAAGGTTCTTGATAAGGAGCTTTAAGGCAAGAATATTTATCCACTCTTACGGTAAAAAGGAATAAGAGAATTGGAAGGTAGACACAAGTTTCAGCAAGTAAAAGAAGGAAGGTGAAGAAGGGTACCACATACCAGTTAATGAAGATTATCATTATTTACCATTCAGGAAGAGAGATATAAGCATTTTGAGTTACCTTCAACAGTAACAGATGTATGTACAATCGGCCACACCGATCTCAGCTATGCCCTATGGGGGCTATCAAATATGGTTTGAGAAAAGGACAGGATATCAGGATTCGGCTGCGGTTAGAGTAACCCAAAATGGTGAATGAATTGTTTGTGTTAGTTGACATTTCTGAAGGATATTACAAAGGTGCTGATAGATCTCATTGTTAGACACCCAGATGATGCACTCTAAAATAGTACAGCTAGATATGAGTACTACAAAGATATGCACTGGAAGCCTGGAAGAGATAAACATTATCTTAGAGTGACTCCCGTCCCTAGTAGAGAGAGAATGTTAGGCAACCCGAAGAGCCAGCGGATGGAGCAAGAGGAGCTAAAAGCAAAAGAATGTCTTGTTGAAGTTTTCAGAATAAAGTGATAGACACAAATGTTAGCAGAGAAATAATAAGAGAGTTAATGAAGCATTATGAGTAAGATGTCAATATGGATGACAACGATAGATCAAAAAAAATGATGACAGTATTACAGAGTCTATAGTTAAGTGAAGGAAAAGACAAGAAGTGACAGGCCTTGAGACAACAAAAGAATATAGGCCATAAAGTCATATCCTCATTTCGAGAAATAAGCTCGTGACTCAAATGCGACTACCAGAAGGATAATTTAGACTCCAGAGTAATAGAATTCAGTATGGGCTGGTGAACAAGATAAACTAAACATGAATTAGGGACTAAGTGATTTGATAATAGTCGGTATTGTGAGAATTTCAGATTTCGTTCCGACGATAGTATAATGAACAATAGAAGAAGATTCATAAGAAATTCAGAGAATGGTCATTTAGGAAGACGCTTCCCTAAAGCAAGCAATGTGAGCAAAGTTAAGCTTAAGGGACTGTATGTGCCAGTTATACTAAGTGCCACCCTCACGAGTAGAAATTTTGTTATCCTTGGTACAGAAGTATTGCCGCAAGGCAAGTAAGGGTCATCGATGATGTGAAAAGACGCCAAAGATGAAGGGTAAAACATCTATAGGTAGATCCTCGTGCTCCAACTCTTAGTACTCCCCTAAAGGGGGGAATATGGAGTGATGTGGCATTAAGTCAGAATCAAGTGCTTCTAGTGACTATGGAATGGTAAAGGAAGAATGTGATAAAAATAAAAAAGGAATGAGATTGCACTTATTTAAAAATCCTATATATATGCTACAATTCCAGAATATTATGCAAATACGACGTCAAGGATAGGAAGTAAGGGTCCCTGCCCGAGATGTCAAATGATCTTAAAGGTTTTGTAGACAGAGGTTCATTTTGTACAGTATGTCAGAGGCCTTAACGGCCCATATGTATTCATATTTTAAGAGTGATGGTTCATTAGTATAACTTTTGCCCGCCCTTTGTTATACATTACAAGTTGTGGCCATGTTGGCCCATGATAGTTGCAGGAAAAAAAAAGTTACAGAGTGGTACGCTCGGACCAGTACGACACCGGGTGCCAGCCACGCCACCCCAAATTTGGGGCGTGACAATATTATAATTTGTAAAAACTCAAAATTGGGGAAAAAAGAAGAAATGAAAAATAAGGGGTTTAGGCCAGCAAAGTTAAATAAGAAATTAAGTGATATAAACTATTAAAATATTTAATTGATTATAGCAAATTATTTACTTATCATTTTTTCATGTTATCATATAATGCTTACGGTAGGAAGTGTTGGAAAAATAATTTGCTAACTCAAAAATAAATATTCAAATTAGTGTCTTGATTCATTCTTTTAATATTATTTTAATAGATCTTTATTATACCAATTAATTGAATATATTTTAATATGTATAACTGAACATTTGAATAGCTTTGAATATAACAATTTACCAACTTTAAATGGGTATTATTATGGCTTTAAGAAAATTGATGTTTTATTAACATGAATGAGTATCAAAATCAATTATGTTTTTGTGACTTTGAATTTGACCAAAGATTAGTCTTGTATGACTGTTTCATAACGTCTATTTTGATAACATTTCATTAACTTTGATAATAATGTTTCTTTGGTTTTAAATGTTTATAACGTTTGATGGCAATGAATCCTTAATGGATTTTAACGTTTCTTTTATTACATAAGATGTTCATTTCCTTTGAACTATATATAAAACTATTTGATTGTGTTCAAGATAGTATAGTAGAGTGACAAAAGTTAATACTTTTCTTCCCTTTTCTTTTGTGTTGGGTTTTCTATTATTCAATCTTTGTTATTTCTGCTCCTAGTTTATACTAGAAGAGCTTGTTGAATCCTGAGGGATACGCCTAATTTTATTCATTACAGTGTAGGCGAAATATCCTTAAGGACAGTGTCTTTGACACGCCTCAAGCTAAACCTTCTATTCTCCATAATCATCCAATATTTTTCCAACAATATTAAGGATATTTTCGTATTCTTTTATTGTGGAGAATCAAATTTGACGATGTACAAGTTTGTTCTAATTCTGGAAATGAGACCTACACTTTAAATTTGCACA